GGTATTCCGTGCTCTCCCTTCCCCCCCTCGCCGTCCCGTCCCAACGTTCGTCGCGCGGCCTTTGCGCGGAGGTGGAAAGGATCCGATTAAAAAAGCACCCCCCGAGAAGTGCTTATCGTCCCGTTCATCACAATCTGCGCGTCCGATAATCCGATAACCGTGTAATATTTATCGACAACCATGTTTCTGCTCGCGTTCCTCTTTATATCGATGCCGCTCGTCGCGATCTTCTTAATCCTTCACGACATCGAGACATTGCATATTAGACAAATTCTCGATTATTTCATTTAAATATGTGCACATAGCTTTGAAACATGACGTTCGAATAATGTAATATTGCAGAAGTTCTTTATTGTGCATGTATCATCGTTACTGAAATCGTATTATTTGCGAGATATTTCAAATTTTTTTTCATTACAAGATTGGCTACATTCAAAAAGTAAAGCTGGAATCACAATGAAAAAGCATAAACAATAACAGAACAGAAAATAACAAATTTCAACCTATCAGAAACCATATATATTAAAATGGAATGCTTTCTGCTTTTCATTGTGTTTAAGATTTAACTTTACTGTTGTAAAATTCTTTAATATAGTATATTTAGATCTAGCAGGAGATTAAGACTATTCATATTAAAGAAAGGAATAAGCTTAGAGATATGATGAAATATTTCAACTTATTAATTTCATCATGATAACTGAAGATAATTAATAATAAGTCGAAATCATCATACGGTTATTGATTTTAATAAATTTTCTATATTTTTTATATTATTACTAATTTTATTAGCGTTTAAGCGCAAAAGAAATAGAATAACGCAAAACATTTATTTATTGTACTGACTTCTTTTAAATAACTTTTATGCACCTATTTTTTATTATTTGAATTATGTTTGTTATTAATTATTAATTAAATTTCAATCAATTTTGTTATTCTAATTTTTATTTGTAATTGTCATTCTATCTTTTTGCGTTTGAACGATTATTAATTATAAATGAAGACAACTATATTATAAGACTGAAATCAGACTGCATTGAAGAGTGAGATTGAAGATTGAAGATTGAAATTTGATCAATGAGGAATTTTAGCTCTTATTATTTCGATTATTAAATTTCTACCTTTCAATCTCTAATTTCAATCTTCATGCGTAGTCTGATTCTATTCTAATAACAAGTAAACGTCTCATTATACCATTATTGATTTTAATAAATTTGATATATCTTATTGTCACAAACTTTACATATCTCTTTGTCCGTTTATTAACCTCGATTTCATTTTAATCATATTACAGATTTTTATGACAGTGAAGTTTTTTCTGCTGAACGGAACCATTGTCTCGTAGGCGTGTTATCCGATTTGTTTAACTCACATGATGCTCCGAATCTGTTGTTGTCTATTTAGCGAGTCCATCTACTTCTCCAGTCGTTCGATCGAATTGACAATTGAGCCGTGGAATGAAGCGATACGCAAATTTACATTGTCGATAGATTTATATGACGATACCGGTAAGACGAGTTAAATTTGTACAAATCCGTATAGAGTCGATGTGTTAGATGTTAGATCCATATATCTTCATTTCTTCACGGTTCAATGATCTCATAGTGATCATCGATCATTAGACTATACAGAGTGTTCTGAATTCATCCAACAACGCTTGTGGGCAGGTAGAGTGGACGAAACTGAATTGAAAAGTCCTCTACCAATTTTGCAATTTTTGCAATAGTTAATAAGATATTTATCACTAAAATTGCCGAATATTGGTCTTTAATAATTTTTTTCTCAAACACTATCAACTTTATAAAAAAAAGAGACAAAAATTGTTATTTTCTTCTCAAAAAACTGTAAGAATTTTTTCAGAATTTTTTATCAACTTTTTAGGACTACATTTTCTTATTTTCCCAATATGAGAAAATGCTGTACTAAAAAATTCATTAAAAATTCTAAACAAATTCGTAAAGTTCTATGAGAAGAAAATAAATAATTTTTGTTTCTTGCTGTTTTTCTGTAAAATTGATAGTATTTGAGTAAAAAATTATTGAAAGTCAATATTTAGCAATTTTTAATGAATAATATCTTATTAACTATTACGAAAATTGCAGAATACAATAATAGAGGATTTTTCGACTCAATCCATTTTACTTGTCCACAAGCGTTGTCGTTTGAATTATGGGATACCCTGTATAAATCTAGATATTCGTTATTAGTTCTCATCTGTGTATATGACACGACGGCTATATAAAATTAACGAAACTTGTGCTTTGAGATCGTAACTATTAAAAAAATCCATAAAATAACGTTTTTTATTAAAATAAATTAAATTAATAATATTTGTAGCTTACAGAATAATTCTGCAGTAAAATACCTATTGTTTGAATTAATTTTGTTGAAGATATGGAGAAAAGCTACAAAAAAATATATATTACTCAACTTATTTTGTAAAATTAATAATGAAAAGTAATAGTAGAAAAAAACCAATTTTATTATTTTACAATAATAATTTTTAGATTGTTGTTATTTGTAACAATTATACACGATTACAATTATATACGTAATATGTTCATAATGTACAAAGAGAGTCTACTATGAGAAAGTCCACATTGTTGTGTGACATCTGACACAACATGGTAGAAGTGATGTGAAACATTTGCCTGAACGCTTTTATTTAACTCTCATCTCCAGTAAAAATTCTCTGAAATAAAAGAAAAAGAGAAAGGGAGGGAGAAAATTTCATTATTGTACTGATCGTTACTCCACGAGTCATGTGTTTATCTACAGTGCTCGGAAACAAGTTACATTTTAAGATTTACATAGAATGGTCGGATGAATTGTGAATACTGACAAACATACTTACACGACGTGCGGTAAACAGCATGTGGTCCACACGTGCTTGAGGAATAGATGTTGAAGGTTAAAGAAATTCTTAAACTTACTTCCACAAGCTGCGTATTCAGATTTTACAGATTAATATAAATTCTCTGTTGATTAAATTATGCACTTAAAAAAAATCTATTTACTTAATTCCTAAAACGCTATTGATATCTAAATTTTACATATAATAATAAGCAAGATCATTGAACACCAAGCTATGTCTTTAGGTCTTTGTCTGATCTAGAAGGTCTAATCATACTAAAAGCTAGAACAAATGGAAGCTTTTAAAAATTCCGTTTATACAGTGAGTACAAAAAATATTTGTACAGAGAAAATATTTTTTAAAAAACATTTTAAAAAATTCAATATTATCCAGTAAGAAATGAGTCATCGAATTGATTTCGAATCGATACGATGATTTCAGTACCAATTTGACGTTGATTCATCGTTTAATTGATGATCATTTCTTGCTGAGTAATGAACAATTTATTCATAAAGAATTTATTCATAAAATAGACTGTATTACTTAAAATTATATATACCAAAAAAATGTGCATTAATTATAGAAAATATATCTGAACAATAAGCGAAAATTAAAAATTAAAAACTCCATTATCAAGTAATTGATTTAGTAATGCAAGAATTGGAGATTTGGATGCTAAAAAACTTTCATGTTTTCTTCTTTTTTAGATGATATCCTTGTTTGCATCTCCTCATCTAAATCCAATAAAATATTACAATTATTTAATTCATAACATCCGAAACTCCAATTCACTATAAAGGATGAAACAAAATTAACTTTTTGGATATCATTTTGATTATGAATGAGGGTTTCCTAAAAACTGATTGGTTTCAAAAACCCACTTTTTCTGGGAGATTTCTCAATTTTCATTCTTAGCATCCGATATCTCAAAAAAAAGGGCATAATTTTAAGTTTAATTGATAAAATTTCTTCTTTCACATCTAGAAATAGAATTCATGAAAAAAATTTGACGTTTATAATTAAAATTTTAACAGACAATGATTATCCTATATATTTTATCCTCAAGATAAAATTTGTTTTATTGCTAAGACGATCTGATATTATTTTTTTTAATCGATTATGCGTGACGCATGCATCGTTTAGCAATCGACATCTCGTGGATTCATCGATTTTTCATAGATGCGATTAGGCGATATAATTAGAGATCGTGAATTACAGAGAACAAAAAAAAAATTATAAGTACAGTATCAAATTCAATCTTGAAGGGACATAAAATATATAGTTCAATCGTGCGTATGTCACTTCATACATTTAAATACATATAACAACACATAGCTGTTTAAAAATTGATTATTTATCAAGATATCGATGTAGCAATTCCGCGGGAAACACTCGAACGGTGATCGCCTGGCCACGCCATTATTTTCGTGCGCTCAGCGAGATCGCCAAAACATCTTTTGGTCCTTCGAGCCGGATACTTCAAGTGTTTAGCCAGTGAAGTGGCGAGCAGCAATTTGGCAGTTAAGGATACTACATCGAGACGAGAAAGATGTCGCAGTAGTAACAATCAGTGCAAGCATCGCACCAGCGGCAGCATACAATTCTATAAAACAATCGCAAGGCCCGCGTCTAAGCATCAGAGACGCAGCCCGGCTCATATTACGTCATATCCCCGCAGAATCAGCATTTTACGAGCAGAATCCTGTGGACGGCGGAAAACAAGACCCAATAGACGACGTGCAACGGAAGTCATCCCTCAATCATCATCTGCGACGCATCATCTGCGAGAGAAACATTTCCGTCTAACATTCGATTGAAAGACATCTAGCATCTATCGCATCCTCTCTTAGAATTAATTGCGTGCGTAACAAGGTAAGGAAGACCATTGTCTCCATTGCCAACTAAGTTTCCTCCGTCGCGTCCGTGTATGCGTGCGCACTCACATTCAAAATGGTCGACCAGTCAGAAGCGCCGATACTTAAGCGACAGCGCGCAACCATAAAGGCATCATGTACGCGTATCAGAACTTATGTAGACTCAATCGCCGCCATTAGCCCGTCAATAGTAGCTCAACTCGAAGAGCGGAAGGCGAAACTCGAGCTATATTGGGCGGAATATAACGATGTGCAATCGCGTCTAGAATCATTAGATGAGTCCTAATGATGAAGGCTGCGATCGAGACGGTTTCGAAAAAGCGTTCTATACATTATCCGGTAGAATCCGTGAGCTCATTTCCCCTTCACCGACATTGCGAGCATCCATCTTTTCTCCTCAAGTGTTCGCGAATCAGAGTGGTACGCACATTCGGTTGCCTAAGCTAAATTTACCGACATTTTTCGGCACATATGATGAATGGTTCCCGTTTTTCGATATTTTCAACTCTGTTATCCATTCCAACATCTCGCTCTCAAATACGCAAAGATTTCAGTATCTGCGAGCGTCACTCATCGGCGACGCAAGCGCTGTAATCAGTTCGTTAGAATTGTCGGACGCTAATTACGATGTCGCGTGGGCAATTCTCAAGGAGCGATATGACAACAAGCGCATGATTGTTCAAACTCACGTTAGTGCTATATTCGATTTGTTGACTATGACAAGGGAAAATGCAGTCGAGCTCCGAAGACTCTCTGACAGCGCCACAAAACATTTGCACGCCTTTCAGGCATTCAAGCGTCCCACGACGCATTGGGACGATCTTCTCGTTCATCTTTTAACCTCAAAACTTGATTCACTCACATTACGCGAATGGCGAAACTCATTAGCGGGCAACGAGCTGTCATCGCTTAAGCAACTGTTAGATTTTATCGCTCATCGATGTCAGGTACTTGAGCCTATCACAAGAGCTGGCTCCACTTCCGCAAGGAAGGTCGAGGCAAAATCGCAGCCAAATGCTAAGCGGTCATCGTGCGCGGCCACCATTAAACTTAAATGCAATTTCTATCAAGGAGAACACGTCATTTATTATTGCAAAAATTTCGTGGCACTTCCAATATCACAAAGACTCGCGGAAATTCGCAGTCGCAAACTTTGCGTCAATTGCTTGCGCTCTTCTTCTCATGCATCAAGTAAATGCACTTCCGGACAATACAAGGTCTGCCAGGCAAAACACAATACGTTACTTCATATACCCTCTGCCGCGGATCCATCCACTAGCAATACCGATAAGGAAGTTGCACCTAAAGCAACTCCTCTCTTCCTCCTATCGAATTATGCTTTAGAATCATCTAATAACGAATAATGCTTTCGACTGCGGTTGTGTTCATCTGCGGCAGCGATGGACTCTCGCAGGGCGTGTCGGCCCTATTAGATTGCGGATCGCAAGCGAACTTCGTAACCAAGAAATTTGTGGAAGCTCTTGGTTTAGAAACGCGTCCATCAAGCCTCTCGATTTGCGACGTCAATGGCACGGTAACCAATCACGTGATCGGAATCAAATTACAATCGCGACTCTTACACAGCTATCGAATGCATTGTTACTGATCGGATTACTGGCAAAATTCCGACGTTTTCTTTGGGACGGGACAAATTTAATTTTCCGCGCAACATTCGTTTAGCTAATCCGCGATTTCACATATCGTCAGATATTGATCTTTTAATTGGAGTGAACTTGTTTTGGAATCTAATATGCATCGGTCAAGTCAAGTCTTCAGACAAGCATCCAACTCTTCAAAAAACGCGACTGGGCTGGATTTTGGCGGGTCGTTTGGACAACCATATCGATAGCCGCAAGGGTCCACTCGCTTCACGCGTAACTAATGCGGAATTACATGAACATGTCATGTCGTGTCTGGCAAATGGACGACATCTCCACGCAATCGCACAATTACACAATGGAGGAAAACATTTGCGAGCGTCACTTTTTAGACAACGTGTCTCAAAACTCTCAGGGTAGATATATAGTCAAGCTTCCAGTCAGAGAACAAATGTTAAATAACATTGGCGATTCACGTGAATCTGCTCTCAAGTGATTGAGGGGCATCGAAAGACGTTTCAAGCGCGATCCTATTCTTAAAATTCAACGCGGCGTTTTCTCGACGAATATTTATCGCTGGGACGCACACATGCGACGCATGGAGCTACCCATTGCGGAAGAAACAATATCATTTTATCTTCCACATCACTGCGCCTTCAAAACGTTGAGCAAACATCGAAAATTCGTGTTATATTTGATGCATCTTGCCGCAGCAGTTCCGGCGTATCGTTAAACGACGCGCTTCTAGTGGGACCTACAGTTCAACAAGATTTGGTCTCAATTTTGATACGCTTCCGTTTTTTCATTTATGTCATCACCGCATGATGACATAAAAATGTATCGGCAAATTTTAATCCATCCATCTCAGACGAGCCTGCAGAGAATTCTCTGGCGCAACAATCTTTCTGCTAATGTCGATACGTACGAACTCACTACTGTCATTTACGGTACAGCTTCCGCATCATTCTTGGCCACCAGATGCTTTAAGCACTTAGCCGAGCAGCACGCTCATCAATTCACTCGCGGTTCAGCATGCGTCCTTCGAGATTTTTATGTCGATGACATGCTCACTGGAGCAGATACAGTCGACGAATTAAAACTCGCGATGAAACCATTCAACTATTAAAATTAGGAGCATTCGAGTTAAGCAAATGGGCCTCGAATTGCCTTAAATTATTAGAAACAATCGTGATCGTTTGCCGGTCATTATCAGAGATAATGCTGCGGACTCATGTATTCTGGGATGCAATGGAATCAGTATCAGGATACATTTCAATTTCTCTGTAATCTTGATACAAAACCTCACGTTGTATTAAAACGAACATACTTTCCGAGGTCGCTAGATTGTTCGATCCTCTGGGCTTTCTGGGTTCGGTCATTGTGATCGCAAAGCTCATCTTGTAAGATTTGTGGCAATTGGCCATTCATTGGGACAAGTCCGTTCCTCAGGACATCCACACTCGTTGGATCGCTTTCAGAACACAGATGAGTAATTTGAATCAATTAAAAATTCCTCGATGCGTTAAATTCAATGTTCATTAGCCAATCGTGGAAGTGCACGGATTTTGTGATGTCAACCAACGCGCGTTCGGAGCCTGCATATACCTTCGCACCAAGCTCAGTCTTAACGACCATCACTCCAAGTTGCTGTGCTCAAAGTCTCGCGTCGCGCCGCTCAAAACCGTTTCGTTACGTGATTAGAGCTATCGGCCGCTTTACTATTGGCGCGCTTAATCAACAAGATTAGAGAGTCTTTGGAACTCTCGCAATGCTCGACTTATTTATGGTCGGACTTAACGATTGCATTAAACTGAATAACCTCCCATTCGCGGCAGTGGTTAGTTTTTATGGCAAATAGAGTGAGTGAAATTCAGCGTCTAACAGAAGTCGAGTGCTGGCGTCATATCATCTCCCGACAACCCTGCCGACACATTGTCGCGTGGGATAAATCCCTATGACTTAATCGATGCTGAGAGGTAGTGGAATGGTCCCGAATTTCTAAAATGGGATGAAGAACACTGGCCGCCCAGTGTCTTCCCGCGTTTGAGACAATGATCTTCCTAAACAAAGGAAAATAGCCGTTTCGACTTTCCATCTCTACATCATTGACGACTTACTAAACAAGTGTTCCAATTTAAACAAAATATGCCACATCATAACGTATTGTTTAAAATTATCCAAGGCTCACCGGGAGCACAGAATATCCACTTTCGTGTCCGCCGCTGAAGTATCTACCGCCTTAGATTGTATTTGCAGTGCAACAGCGAGCGTTTTGAAGCACTAGTCAAGAACGAAATTGTAAATACTTCTAATAATATCTTATCGCTATCTCCATTCTTAGATGAAAGCAGATTAATGCGAGTTGGCGGGAGATTAAAAAATTCGAATCTCGCGTTCAATGCGTGCCATCCAATTCTCCTGCTATGCAAGCACATATTGACTCAATGTATTATAGAGCGTGAACACACTCGAAACTTATACGCGGGTTTGCAAGCCACGATGGCTTTCATCGCCAACGCTTTTGGCCGCTATCATTGCGATCCACGGTACGTGGAATATTACAAAAGTGTGTAACCTGTTTTAAGCCAAACCTAATCAATCAGAGGCCTTAATGGCTCACTACCGGCCAGTCGAGTTAACGTAGATCTTTCTCTCGTTGTATCATAGACTATGCCGGGCCGCTCTTGTTACGTGAGGGAAGGCGTCAAAACGCACGGAGTCACAAAGCGTACGTTGCGCTTTTTGTGTGCTTCGGCACGAAGGCGGTCCATCAAGAGTTAATAAGTGATCTTACATCCGAAGCCTTTATTGCCGCCTTTAAGCAATTCATTTCGCATAGGGGTAGATCCGCGCACGTATATTCAGACAACGGGACCACCTTCGTGGGCGCGCATAAACAAATTCAAGAATTATACGACATGTACAATGATCCACAAGTCCAGTCCGAGATTAAAAATTTTCTTCGCGAATTAGAAATTTCTTGGAGTTTTATCCTGTCTAATGCACCTCACTTTGGAGGTTTATGGGAGACAGCCGTAAAATCTACAAAATACCACATGACTCGGATCGTGGGCAAGGCTTATTTGACTTTTGAAGAAATGCAAACGACCCTCTGTGAAATTGAGGCGATCTTCAATTCGCGTCCCCTATACTATTAAGCGCCGACCCTAACGACCTAGCGTATCTAAGTCCGGGACATTTCTTGGTTGGTACGACTTTAAATGGTCTTCTTTGCGTTGATTTGAGCGATGTCCACGAAAATAGGTGGCAACGCGTAGAGCAAATCCGGCAGCATTTTTGGCGCAGGTGGAGTAATGAATATCTTCATTTTCTATAAGCCCGAACCAAATGGATGGCTAGCAAGGGAACTCAGCTGTTGACTAATCAACTCATGCTCATAAGGCAGCCGAATCTAGCTCTGCTTCAGTGGGCAATGGGGCGGGTCTTGGAGCGGTCTTGATACGGGATGAACCCGACGGCACCCGCTCGCACCGCAACTATCAAGACTGCCAAGGGTTCTTATGTGAGGCCACTGCAACTATCAATATTACCAATTTAAACTTAGTCGATGCGTTAGCAAACATTTAGTTTTAAGTGTCTTTAGCTATTACCATCTGATTATATCCTATCTTGCGCAGGCCTCCTTTACGTTCATTAAGAATGCCTTATTATTTTTCACTTATTATATCGCTTGCCTACTTAGATGATAATACGCGTTGATTTTCAGTCCAATGACTAAATGTGATATTAAAAAAAATCGTATCAGAATAATTCGCGTTTCATGTCATGCCAATGAACTCATGCTTGTATGTCACGTTGAAAGTCAATCCTTTCAAGGCGAGCGGAGTATCTCTGTGATTCACGATCTCTAATTATATCGCCTAATCGCATCTATGAAAAATCGATGAATCCACGAGATGTCGATTGCTAAACGACGCATGCGTCACGCGTAATCGATTTAAAAAAATTGATTAAAAAAAATAATATCAGATCGTCTTGGCAACAAAACAAACTATTGTTTCTTCGTCTTCTGCACGCGACTCGTCTCATGGAAGGTCATCGCCGCGCTACCGCTAAGATCCTTTCCGTATCCGCTGTAAACACGTTCGCCCGCTCGAGGCTTATTTTTAATAAAATCTGGAAAGCAGAGAAATTCGCATTTTCTTGATCGAGTGCCCTCGATGTAGCAATTCCGCGGGAAACGCTCGGATGGTGATCGCCTGGCCACGCTATTACGATTTTCGTGCGCTCAGCGAGATCGCCAAAACACTTTTAAATTAATAATTAGGTTGGCATTCCAAGAATAAATCTGGACACGAAGAAAACCCGCGAAACGCATAATCTTTAATTAGGTTATTTATATTTATATAAATAGTTAAATTATATAAATATTTTATCATTAAAATGTATGAAATGTATAAGAAACTTGTGTTAATTAAGAATGGTTTTATACTTATCAATTTAAAATTTACGTATTAATAGCAATGCTGTATTACTTAATATCAATAATGTTTTAACACTTTTTAATGTTTTTAAATTTTAAGATTAATCTATTTATAAAGCTATAAAATTAAATAATATGTATATATACAATAATTGAGCTAGAAATAAAAACGTGACCTTACTGATTTTTATGTACATTACAATACATTTTTGTGTAGATCATAATTTTTACAACGATAAAAGAAAATCAGTTAAGCGCGTGCTGAGAATGTGAAGAAAGATCAACCCGAGTGTTTCATTGTTTACTTGTCAAACGTCACCAG